AAAGAAGACAGCAACGGGCTGGCCTGGTGCAGTCAGCTTCTGCAGACATCATTTGTAGTCCAGAGGACAGTCCCTCTCTCCATGACCTGGAAATGGAGATGGTGTCAGTCTCCCTACACTAGCACCAGCCTGGACAGACTTTTCCCAGATAATAACCTGCATTTTGAATTGCTCAAGTCAACCACAGTTTCATCTCAGGAGCAAACCCAGACTCCATCCATGATCTGGAGCTGGAGAAGCTATTGAGCAATGTCAATAATACCAGAAGCCAACATCGATGTTTTTATGAATTTACCTGCCTCAAAATGGGTGTTGCAACCCAAAAATTGAACAAAGCCTGACCCTTTCAGCAGCGCCTGAATGCTGTTGGAACAGCCAGATTGGTTTTGGATTCTCTCTTGCTAGGAAGTCCTTTCTCCCCTTTTTAATGAGCCTGGAGATGTGGGAAGAAAAGGCCAGGCAAACAAAAAGCTTAACGTGCTTTGATTTTTCCACTTCATGAAAAAAATATTTTCATTTTTCCTAGCCCAGGTTTTAAGCTACAGTTATTGCTGCAGCAGCCACAATTAATATTTCACCTTCCAAAAAGAGGGAAAAAAAACTGTCTTCCCTGTGGATTCCCAGAGAGACGTTCCGCTCTGATCTGCAATTAGTGGTAGCCTCGGGTAAACGATCTAAAATAGAAATGTTATTTTTGGAATTGTGATAGCTACTACTTTTTACTCCCCCAAATGCTGGTTCTTTTTTGCTCTGCACTGTCATTAAAAATAGAATCCACAATTGCATTGCCACTGCGTTTCGGTTTCTTCCTACAGCAGGACGCACACTATCTTCGCAGCACTACTGACATAAGAAATTACACAGATTTCTAATCTTGCCAGCAAATGGCAATCAGACTTGAGACAGCGAACCAAGTGTTCAAGGCAGAACTGGATCTGGTCTGAATTATCCCTATCCCACTGACAATGGAGCGTGGACTACCAGGAGCTGTGAAATTGCCCTCTGTCTGACAGTGCAGTGCGTCAGTCCCTCACCCAAGGTCTGTTGAATCCACTGAAGATCTCTTTTCTTATTTCAGAGGGCATTCAGATCAGAAATTTAGCATATATGTCACTGTACACATCTGCTTGTGCTCCACAGGAGCTGACTCAGATGCAACCCTCCTATCCGAAGCACACTGTAGTGCTTTGCAGAAACCAGATCGAAAAAAGCTATGAATTACAACGCCATTCACATTTTCTGAAAGTTGTTTATGATTTGCATGCATCATTATTACACTGCAGACCGTCTGTCCTGGGACTGTGAACAGCAAATAAAGCAAGTTCTTTATAGTCTGAGAGAAAGAAAGACAAAAGGCGAGTATTTGGGAGATGCAGGGCTGGGTAGCCATGGATAATGCACATCTGTCCCAGCATTTGGGGTTGGTTGTTCTTCGGAGCGTGGCAGGAGGGATGTGAGAGCTAAGTTATGCTTTTGGAAGCATCGCTCGTGAGGAAGCATGATGAGGGGAAAACGGCTCTTGTGATCCATGTGCTTGACCAAAGCTTAGGCAGAGCTACTGGCTTCATAAGGGGATGGAAACTAGGAGATGTACAACCCTTTGGTACATGTGCATGTCCTTCTCCTTCTATTTTCTGGGCCCAGGTCAGCCTCTCCTTCACCCCTGTATGCCGATCTGCTGCTTAGGGGTTTTATATCCAAGAAAGCAGAAAGAAAGAACGGGCACATCAGCTGGTAACAGTTCAGAAACAGATGTACATTCCTGCACAAAACTCCAACATTAGCGGATCCAATTACTTTGAAACTGTGCTCTGCTCCACAGCCTTATCCCTAAAGCCTCACACTCCTTACCTCCTGCCTCTTATCTCTGCTGTTCTCTTGCTTCTTTGCTTTTGATTATAAACTTGTCACTGCGGTGTTTGTGCTTTGGGGAGCGTCCATCCACTGTACCTAGCCACTTTTGCAGCACAACAATAAGGAAACTAAGTCAAGAAGCAGAAGTACAAGATGAAACACGGCTGCCCTTGTGCAACGACAGCACGGGGAAGATGCCTGCCCCAGGTCACATTTACTGGCTGCACAAGCATCAAGGAATTACACCGTTTCTAAGTCACATCCAAGAAGAGAGAAAAAAACAGCTTAAGTAGGCCTGGCTGCAGCAGGGCCATCTAATGCTGCTTGCAATTTGCAGGTAGGAACAGCAGGAAAATCCAGGTACTCTCCTCTGCCGTGCAGAGGGGATGAAGGGTGATTTGCTGACCAAGCCCTGCTGTTGGGATAGCCTGGACCACAGCCTTTATATGGTGAATAAGCACTTCCCCTAAAGCCCAGTCTGTATTCACAGTTCTCCTTTAGGATCAAGCTAGTGGAGCTGTAGCAGCATCACAGTGGATGTCACTGTTTAAACAAAGTGTTAAACGTTCACCAAAGCTTCTTATAAAATGTAGTTTAAACCAAAACTTCTTATAATGTAGTTTTAATTCTGTAACTCTTTTCTTCCGTGTTGAAGCATCCACCATCCTCTTCCCCCAGAAGTACCCTCATACCATGGGACTGTGCCACAAGTCCCTCTGATTCTTCCTTCCTCACGCTTCCCCCGGCTCTGTGCCCATGCAGACCGTGGCTTTGGTCTGCTCCAAGGAAACATCTTTGCCGTGTTGTCAACACCACTCCTAGCTCTGGCACTAAGTGCTGCTACAGGGCAGACGTAAAGAGAACACACATCCACAGCAGTTCTGGAGCAATGCTAGCTGGAGCCGGGCTTGCAGACCTGTAATTACAACACAACAACATTTCACCATAAATTTGTCCTAGTGAAGCCCTTTGGATACTAAAAAGCTTTGCACATTTAGAGGCTTTGCCCCCTTAGGGAGAAATCCTGCCTTGCTTTTTCATGCAAGCAGTCCTTCGGGTTGTTCGAAGGAGCCAGGCAGGGGGCTGGGGCTGCTGTGTATTTATTTAATGCAGCCGTGGCGTGCAGGATGCGGAGGAGCATGGGGCCTCTTTCGCTTGCTCTGCACTGGAAGCAGCCTGGAGGGGCACAGATGAGAGCACAAGGAGCAATACTGCAGCCCGAAGCCCAAAGTGTGGTGCCCAGGAGCTGGCTGTCACCGGGGTGAAATGGTTATGCAAGCTGCGAAGTGCGCGTTTTGGGGTACAACCCCGCAGTCTGCCCCAAAACCCTTCTGTCCCCCATCCCCAGAGGAACTAAGAGTCACTGGTAAGAAACCTACTTGCTCAGAAAACCCTGCCTTTTGTGTTGGAAGGCGGAGGTGCCCCTTCATACTTCGGTGACGATCTCCCTGGCTCTTTGTGTGATGTATACTCTTAATATTTGCAAATGATCCCATGCACTCAGAAGACTTCTAAATACCTCCAAACTGAGCACCGCTTACTAGCAGTTCTTTGCCCTCCAAGGCACAGTTATCATCAGGACGTTCTTACTGGGACCACGGTATCGACTGTAGTTTATTTCACACACTGGGCTGCCGCTCAGCTTTCCCAGCACAAATGCCATTTGCCCTGACTCAGCCGAGAGCTGCGTCTGCCCACAGACCTCCAGGTCACGACTGCAGAGAAGTGACCAACCCTTGGACACGTCCGCAAGCACCGAGCCCTTCTCAAAGCCTGGCTTTGGGGTGTGAGTGAAGGCACCGTCCTGCCTGACCCAGCAGAGTCTTAAATTGGATTAAAAATCTATTTGCTGAACTGCCTTGCTTTCCGACTTCTGTGCTGCACCTGAAAACCTTTCCTTTTGAAAGCAAACACAGGCTCTCCCCAGGGGCTGCCTGGGGAAGTCTTTCCACTATAAACATTACCTACCAGTAGTGGAGTCAGCCCCAGGCAAGCCAAAATTCCTTCTCCGACCAAAGAACACTTTCCAATCAAACCAGACATTATTTTTTCCATTAATGAGTGTTGATACCTACTGGAAAACTCCACAAAGAAATCTACTCCAAACTAATTCTTCTGATACAACATCTACATTTTACGAGTTTCTTTTGTTTTTCTTTTCTTTTTTTTTCTTCCGAATTTATTTTATTTTCCGGTGCCGTATCGAACACAGGATTTTTGCTGCTCAGGAATGCATCTGTTCCTGCAATCTGGGCTTTAGCTGGAATCAGAGGTCCAAATCCGAATGTGCCTCCACAGAAGCAAGTGGAGTTTTCCCACATTTTCCCCAGTGTGCTGGAGAGAAAAAATAGATCTTCATCTTCTGTTCAATGCATCAGAAAGACAGCCCCCCCCCCCCCCTCCCCGCCATGATGTATATACTCTATATGCCACAATTTCAGCTGTGGGGTAGGCTGTAGGAAAAGATGTCCTCCGAGGTTCTGCAACACTCGCTTCCCAAAAAGGGCTATGAGTAGAGGAATGGGGAGAAATGTGGGGAGAGCCACGGCAGGCAGGCGGCTGCCTGTCCAGGGCGTGCAATGCAGGGTGTTCCACAAGCCAGTGCCTGCTTCTTGATGGTGCAGAATGGTCTTCCCAAGTCCCCCAAAGTGTAGGCATTGCACCCAACCCTCTCCCCTCCCAGTGTCCTTCTGGTGTCACCCGTGGGGCATGCAGACAGATCCCCCCATATGTTGGGGCATAAAGGTTGTCCCCAGAGCACAGGGAGCAAAACTGGGGGTTCTTGCTCAGTGTGGGAACCTGGGGAGCACACAGGGAAAGGGGGCAGAGGAACTTGAACAAAGCACGGTGCAGTGGGACTGGGGATCCTCCCCCAAATCCCCATGTTTGTGGGGTGCTCCCCAACCCTGCGGCACAGTGAGTATCTCACAGGGCAGGGGTGGGGGGTGGTCGCGAGTTATCTTTTATTCGAGGTGCTTTCCCAAGATTTTAGTTAAGTGTAACATAAAACTGTGAAAGTTTAGCAGGGGAAAAGCTTTCCTCCCACTGACCTGGCCGGCCAATCAGAAGGGAGCCCCGCACCTCCCTCACTTCTGACAACTATTTAGCAACTGAGCTCAGCTAAAGTTTCCAAAAAGTTAGAATAACTTCCTCTCTCCAAGACCTCAATTTTTTGCACAACTCCGTCCTTGAAATAAGAGCCCTTCAAGCAACCTGGAAAACGTTTGGTCAGCAAAAAAAAAAAAAAAAATCCTCCTGTTTTTCCAAAGGATCTGTCTCAGGAATTTAAAGCACATTTAAGACACACACACTCACATAACATAAGGAGGGGGGGAAAGGCTCTTCCCCTCCCCTTCTTGCAGAAAGCATGGAAGAAAGCTCCAGTTCTCCTGTTTCCCCTGTGGATAGCTTGGGGACCAGTGAAGAGGAGCTGGAAAGGCAGCCAAAGAGATTTGGCAGGAAGAGAAGATACAGTAAGAAGTCCAGCGAAGATGGCAGCCCCAACCCAGGGAAGAGGGGAAAAAAGTCCAGTCCCAGCTCCCAGTCTTATGAAGAACTGCAGAGCCAGAGGATCCTGGCCAATGTCAGAGAGAGGCAGAGGACTCAGTCGCTCAACGAAGCTTTTGCCGCCCTGAGGAAAATCATCCCCACGTTGCCCTCTGACAAACTCAGTAAAATCCAGACCCTCAAGCTCGCGGCGCGGTATATAGACTTCCTCTACCAGGTGCTACAGAGCGACGAGATGGACAGTAAGATGACGAGCTGCAGTTACGTGGCTCACGAGAGGCTGAGTTATGCCTTCTCAGTCTGGAGGATGGAGGGTGCATGGTCCATGTCGGCCTCACACTAGCCACCGCCGGAGCGAGGCCAGCACAGCCGCCAAAGGGTAAGGAACCACGGGGCTGGCAGGCAAGGGGACACTGGGATGGGAACGTGAGGATGGAGGGGCCAAACCTGTGGGAATTTAAGAAGAGAAAGTCCCGTGTGGGCAAACTATCAAATACATGGCAAGTTGTTGTTGGGAAAATTGTTGTCTCGCTGCTCCGTGAGGGTGGGGGGCAATGAAGGGGGGAAGCATCGCTGCATGAGGTTTGCCGGAATGCGGCTGCTTTGGGGAAGGGTTGGAAGACAGGCTGACAAGGGGATCCAAACCAGCTGCTGCAGCACACGGAGGGCGGCTGCGCCCCAGGCACCCTGGGTTGGTTGCATCCTCCCCGTGTTGGGGGCATGAGGTGTTCCGCAGGACCCTGCTGGGGCTGGGCGATGAGTTCGTCCCGCTGCACCCCAGGTTGGGTTTTTCTTAAGAGAAACGAGCTGCAGATGTCGGCTGCCCCCGGGCCCCTTCCCCCTTCCTCAATAAACTCAAACAAAGATAGAGGAGTCCTGGGGAAATTTTCATCTGGTTTAGTTTCCCTTCCTCAAAGTGCCGGTCAAACAGAGGTTGGTGTTGGGCTTTTGTTGGCTGGAGCGTAGTTTCTGATTTACTCTCGGAACTAAACTCTTCCTCATCGTTTTCCACGACGAGAAAACCTCTTCCTCTTTATGTCGCCTTTGTAATATTTGAGGAGGAATGAACAGAAAGGAAAGCAAAACCAAACAGCTCTTAATTACGCTCTCATCCCAAGCTAATTAAGGCGAGCAGCTCTGCGTTGTGTCAGCCGCTCTGCGCGGGGCCGCCGCTGCCCGGGGCTCGGTACATGAAGCAGAGCTGCTATCTCACTGTGCCCAGCACATGCTGCTTGCTGCTGCAGGATGCAGGCAGCTCCAAAGGGAAGTTTACCCCTGCAATGTGGTGATGCGAAATACAATAATTTCACCCTTTGGGGAAGCAGCTCCTTGAAGATGGGAGGAAAGCCTTACCCCACCAGCCCACTGGGCAAGGTTTTCAAGGCAAACTCATTTTGTTTTAGCGGTGATCAGTGGCTGATTTAAAATCCTGATGCAGCCATGGGATGTTATTTGGAAAAGGGCTCAAGCAGGGCTTACGGGTGGTGCAAAAGGGTTGAAACCATTTTAAAAACCACTTCAAGCAGGCGCTTCCCTCGCGCCCCAACGCAGCCTGTCTTTTGGGGCTGTAATTAAAGTTCCTCCTCGCTCACACAGAGACCTCCAAAATGTCAGGCTGAAAAAGAGTTGCTCTGCCCATTGCACGTTTTGCCCTGCCTGTTGTTTGGCTTTGCTTAAGCAGGTAACGCTGCTGTCGTGGTTGTATTACAAGTGTTGCTATTTTTGCATTGCTGTGCCCCGATTTCAGCTGCGAGAAGCCTAAGCCGAGTCACTTTTAAGAAGTGCAAGCTCTCTGTTTGTAAAACTGAGTGTCTTTTCCCATGCTAATCTGGCTAAAAGGGCTTCAGCAAATAGATTAACAAAACATACGCAAAACCCAGGCTCCTTGTCAAAAACAGATGTAAAATGTCCCAAACACATATTTCTTCAGCAGTTTAGATTGGCTGAATACTAAAGTGCTGTGATGGAACAATGCATTAATTCTGTTGTTTCCTAAACGATGTGCTGCCATTAGCCAATGGCTTTTTTTAAACCTATTATCTAATATATATCCATTCCTCTGTATCGTTCAATGCATTAGTGGCAAACCCTGAGTTTTTCTACCCCCACTTCAGACTCCTTGTCAGTGCAAATGTTGTTAACAACGCTCTGACAAGGCGGGCTTTGTATGCAGATGCTCAGAGACTCTGTCCCTGAATAAAAGAAATGGGGAGAGACATTTCTGGGCTGCTTTGAAAACCTGTGTTGTCAACCCAAATCCCACAGCGTTTTTGCTTTCTTTGGGGTCAATTCACACTCGATGCCTTCCCCACTCCCATCTTGGTGGTGAGCAGTGGATTTTGCTCAGCACTTGGATGTCTGGGGGGGGGTCATGGCCGCCCCGAGCCCCCCAGCTCCCTGTGAGCCTTCCTCCCTGTCTGTGTATGCGTGCACACGCGTGTGGTTGAACTGTTGAAAACACTGTTGACAAATGGCCTGGTGTAGTGCGGTGCGGTGTCAAATTCTGTCCTCTATGGTGACAAAAAATTATGTCCGCCAGCATAAAAAGCCCTGATGAGATCCTCAAGAAATGCTTCAGAAAGCCGGGTGGCGTGGCATAGTCTGTTGCATGTGCCTGTCCGGAGCAGAGGTATTTTAAGGGACAACAGGGGATGGCAGAAAGTCTAAGAAATGGCTGTCTGAGTTTGGGAGCCGTTCGTGGGGACTGAAGAGTTTGGCATCTGTTAGTGAGCCCCGTTCTGCCACCCTCCATCTCGGTGGGTTTGAGAGACGTAGGAGAGGAAAGGCTCAGTCCTGGAAGAGGCGGTCATCCGGCTGCAAAGATCAGAGGAGATATTTGATTAGAAAATCAGAGTCCTGGGAACTGATATAATGCCACCTGGCCGCTGCCAGTGCCAGTAGGTTCGTGCTGCTCACTGTGGTGCCAGAAGAGGTTTTCCTGCTTGCTGGCCCTAATTACAGGCAGCTCTGGTAGTTCCAAGGGAAGCAGGCGCAGCTCTGCCCTTCAATCACTGCATAGGTAGTGGGATGTTTCAGCAGATGTCCAAAGCTTGGGACTTGGTGAGCCTCCCTGCCCACCTTCCCTCCTCACTGCCAGCACCTGTGTCCCTTCCCTGCATCCAACTTTTCCTTTCCCCTTGGAAAGCCCATAATGCTATAAACCATCAAAGAAAGAAAAAAGAAAAAGAAAAAAGAAAGTAGGTTTCCCATTATTCCACTTGGTAGGAAAAATCGTGTCCAGTCGGGAGTCGGGGAGCATCAGCAAAGTGCAGAGCCCACACACTTGTGGGTAAGGGGACTCTGCCATCAGCCCTCCCTTCCCCTCAGAGCCTGTGAGCACTTTGCCATCCCTGGGCTGACACTTGCAGCCACAGCACCTTTGCTATCAGTCTGCTTTGGGGAATCCACAGATAGCACATGCCTGGTACTGGTGCTCTTGCAGATTTCCACTGCTGTTTATAAAATGTATTAAACCCGAGCATCCTATTTCGTTTCGTCCTTAAAGAAGCAAACAGATGTTATCTCTGCTGGCCTTGGGAACAAGCTCATTCTATGGTTTATGAGAGCAGGACAGTTAGCTGGGGGTGCTGTGACACTGGAACTAAGCCCTTTTTGTCCCAAAAGCCCTATTTTTTTTTTATAAGCATCCTTAGAAAATGTAAATATATTTCCTTGACGGGAAGGATTGTAAAATTTGGTATTTACATTGATAGGTTTAAAGTGGTCTGGGTCTTTTTTTTTTTTTTTTTTTTTTTTTTTTTTTATCTCAGTGCATTTAAAAGCTCAGCAAAATGCATTTTGGGTCTTCTGTTTACGTTCGTGTCATTTCTTGGGAAAGAATAAATCTGTCGGGCAGCGAACAGCAAACACACAGCAGTCAGCCAGAAAGCGCTCGAATTCAGAGCCCCAGGAAAGAGAGGATGTGAGGAAAATCCTCCATTGAGCAGGCACGCGAAGGCAAACCAGCCACATAAATTAATTAATGATCATAAGGAGTTAGAAACAGGCGCAGAGGAGAGATGCGTTGGATTAAAACTGAAGGATTGCTACGAGGAGCAGTAAAGGCAAATTTTAATTTAATCCACTTGAGCCACTGCGGTGCTGTCCGTCTTATTAGGAGAGATGTGCCTTGAAGGGTCACTGAGGAAGCAGAAAAGGCACGCGTTGCTGCAAAGCGGTCCTCGTTTGTCTCCAAATCAGTTGTCCTCACTTCGCGCAGAGTATCTCTGGTGTTAAGAGCAGACAGAGCTTCATCGTTAAAACAAAAGGGAAGGGATTGCAATGCTTTCCGAATACCTCGCTTTGCATTCCCCTTTCAGTGTTTGCTGGGCTTGTTTCATAGTTAGAGGTGGTGGTAATACATCAGACTTGTGGATCGCAGCAGCGATGAGACAGATCCTGTGGCCCCAGATTAAATCTCTTTCGGGGACGTTTCTTGTCACTTCTTCCTGCTAGCAACGTAATTATTTTTATAGCTTCAGCCTGGGAAACATTTCCACGTGATTCAGTACATCTCTGAGCCTGAAATCTCCTGCATTTATGTCATGCTGTGAAGCAGTAGGAATAGCCTGGTTGGGGAGCATGTTGGGGAGCACCACCACAAAGCAGAGCACAGAGCGAGCTCTACACACAGCCAGGAAATTACTGCCGCCGCTCGGGGGGAGCACACAATTTTGGGCACTGTTTTCTCCAATCTTTGCAGAAGATTAGGGGAAAAAAGCTGATCCAAAACCTTCTGTGCCACTAAAACCACGCTGGGCCAGGTTCTGAGCTGCTATACACAGTGGGCGATACCATCAGAGATCTCAGTGTCACTCCTAGGAGCCCTAAGCACCAGCACTCATGGTTTACTTCTTTGGCGGATCTGGAAGTGAGGAAAAACCAACAAGTCCTCCAGCTGGACACCAGCACCATCATTCTAATTAATGATTAGTTCTTGAGAATTAAAACAGTAGAAATATTTGCTGGGGAAAAAAAAAAAAAAGGGGGAAAAAAATACCCTAGACACCCTGGCATTTAATTAGATTTGTAGCTGTAGAAGATGACCACTCAGCAGCGACAACTGATCGTACACAAACAACAAATTAACTCAGCCAGCCAATAAATCACGGCATGGCAGCCCTTACCCCATCCTCGTCTCTGTGACCGCTTCCATGCTAACCCAACCTGGATAAACTCTTATTCCAGTGCCTCCCTCACACAGCCCCGGCTTTGCTGGGCTCTGCCCAGTCTCCCAGTCACTGCTGGGTCACATTTTCACTGTAAGCAGTGGGTGCTGTTCTGGCTCTCTGAGATGTGCTTTCTTCTTGTGCTAAAACAGGGATTTCATTGCAGGGAGACTGGTTAAAACAGGGAACTCTCAGTGATTTTTTTCCACAA